GCGCGGTTTCTCCTGCGGCAGGAGCTGCCGCCCGGGGTTCCCCGCACAGCCACTTCCTGGGGATCTCCAGCTTCTGTTTTGGGGACCGTTGTTTTCCAGAAGGAACAGGGCTGAGCCTGAGCTGCAGATAACATCGCATCTGCTGGGAACATCCAAACTCTGAGGTTCAAGGGAACCCCTTGGATAAGCCCAGCTGCAACCTGCACCCACTGGAAATCATTCCATGGATGTCTGGCACGGGCAGTCCCCCTCTGAGCGACCCTCCAGGGCGGAGGGCTCAGCCAGTTTGGAGTTTTCTGGGGCAAAACTGTCCATGTTTAACCTTCCTAGGCAGACTTTCAGACTCAGCTCGCGTACACCGGGAAAGCAGAGCGTACAATTTGCTCTGCTGTTTGACATAATCATAGGCTGTCCCGGTGCCTGGAACAATTTAATGAATACCTTAGGACGGGTTTTGCTGTCAGATCATAATACCACCTTTCACAAAAGCTCTTGCCACTGTCACCGTTGCTGTGCCTGACACTGTGACAACGTGAAGAAGCCTCAGAGCTCTAGGTAGCGGTGCACCAACAGGATAAAGGTATTTATTCAACCTGCAATAACTACCCAGAGGAATATCCTCTCTGGTGGCCATTCTTTGGCCACATTTTTAGGATAAAAGACTGGGGAAAGGTATTTCCTTACTCCACTAGCCTCTTTACTCATGTTTATGCAGTGCTAAAGCTCCGGTGATGCCATTGCACCCCTCTAATAAACCAGGGGGTTTCACAAGCAGGTTGCAGCGCAGCCCTGAGAAAAAGGAAGAAAACGAGTTGAGCCACAGAGAGTGACAGGAAGGATTGCGCTGTTGTCACACCCAGACTGCCTCCAGCAGCACTTTTTTTTCTTCTCAGCAGCCTGAGAACCCAGAAACCCAGAGTGACAGTTCAGGTTTTCAGTGAAGCCCGTGCAGCCGGGAAGAGCTTTGAAACTTGCTCTGGTTTTGGAACGTCACGAGGTGACGGGCCAAGATCTCACTGTGATGGGTCAAGAGCTCAGAGATGTGCCAAAAGGAAGAGCTCAGAAAACACGTTTGCATGAGGCTTGCAGAAGGGTACACAAGGGGCTGGTGGCGAAGCCACGCTCCCCGACACCCAGAGATAGCACGTGTCGCGACATGTGCTAAAACCCCACCGATCCTTGGGTCCTGAGCTGGAGAAATCCGGGGCTGACCTGGAGGTTGCAGGGGGGGGGGTTGCAGAGCTGCCTGCACAGCCTGGCTGGGGAATTCCCCCACGCAGGGAAACCCTTGAGCAGAACCCAGCTGCTGCCACGGCTGCCGGGTGGGCTGCTGCCCTGCTGACAGCATCCCTCATCGCTTGGGTATTGCCAAAGCCTCGAATATCTTGAAGAGACACCCCAGGACCGTGCTGAGTAGAGGTGGAAACCAACGCCTGGGGTGGCTGAGCCCTGTTTGCAGACTCAGCCTTTTCTCCTGCCTCCTCCCTGTGCGGCTGCAGCTGGGATTTCACCGCTTGGGAGAATCTCCAGCCTCACTAGGTGCAATCGCTCCAGCTGGTTGTAGCCATTCCCGTGGCTTCCTTTCAGCTGGCGATGACTCCTGCAGCCTCCCAAGTTACAAGCTGCTTTTTTGAGGTTTTTAGTATGAATTACTCTGGGAGACTTCACTTAATTGCATCAACACAGCATCACTCTCACAAGTACCTCCCTGGAGTGTGTGTATAGGTAATACCCTGATGGAGCTTCACCATCAGGAGAGGGTTTGAATTGATTCCAAGCCTGGTTTTCCAGCATTTAGTCCTTTGCCACTGCACCACATGCTTGCAAAAACATCTGTTATCACACAGGAATCTAAAACTTCCCCATCACTGAAAATCAACTTTTTTGTAGTACTCTGGACCACACCAAGATATTCCAGCGGCAGGAATACGGAGATACCTGTGGTGGAAAGGCTACAGTAGCAATGGTAAATCCTGCGTGTTAGGATTACCCTCCTTCCTTGGTATTTAGAGGTGGGAAGATTTGCATGAGGGGAGGACAGTTAAAGCAAACAGTGAGTATGAGGCATATGAAAGCAGAGAGAGTAAACCAAGTGAAAATGACCCACTTTTCTACTGTTTTGTCCAATGACTTACTGCAAGAAATTTTTTGCTCCTGCTATTTATGGGGTTTCCCTCTTCTAAACGTTACCCCGGTCACTGCAGTGTGACATGCATTTGTTTATAGTACCCCCGAGTTGCACATATAGACCCAGATGTTGTTTCAGAACCACCACGCTTGGGGAAGATTTTCTAAAACCTGTACATTAAAACTTCATGGAACAGCGGTTTTTTACCATAACACTACTGGGGCCTCCGTCAGAGAAGGACACGATGCCAACTGGCCTGCCAGCCCCGCTGATGCTCTGCCCCCCTCGAACCCCCAGTTCGGCTTCAGCCGTGTTTTAACGGCGTGTTCTGTCGCTCCTGTTCATACCGTGCCCCAGAGAAAGAAACTGCAGGGCTGGGTTTAATATTGGATTTAATGAAGATAAACCTAAGAGATTAGGAGCTCGACAGCACACAGGAAAGTATAAACCAGTATGTATTGTCTGAATATTAACTTCCGGAAAAAAAAAAAATCTGTATTTTTCCTACAGCTTATTTTGTGGCTTAAAATTGGTAAAAAAAAACCCTCCGAGTATTTACTTGACTGTAGCAACATCACTTCTTTGTAGCCTAATGCATCATATGCAAAATAATACTCGAGTCCCCAAAGGGTATTAAAACTCTGGGCATGAAATGTCTGGAAATTTAACTGCATCTCAGCCTATGTTAACTCTTTTTCTACAATACAAAGCAGAAAAATGTTTTACAGAAACTCGTATCAGGAACAAAGCCGTCCTCCATGAAGCATTTGTTGGTTGAAATTACTAACAGCAAAGTAAAAATACTCGTAGACGTATTTTAGGCTTCACAGATCGAGTGATTCACAGCCCTGGGGAACTTCTCTTGGTCTGTCCAACTGGGAAGCTGAGGGCAAACATTTATCACAGCCCAGCAGAGTGTAGTCTGACTTCCAGTTGTACTTTAAAAAAAAAAAAAAAAAGAGAAAGAAAAAAACCGAGACCTTTTGTACTTGGTTACAGAGAGGAACAGCCATGAACAAGGATATTCTTCCACTTCTGGCGCTTCATGCACTTGCAAAGCTCAGCAGAGACCTTTGCTAAATCGTTCCTTTTTACCCGTAAGTTCATTATATTGGAAGTAAACATTAAACCAATAAATATTGTTCCTTTTTATGTCATATTTCAGCTTCCACATTTTGCATACTGGGCACTGAACAAAATCTGACTTCTTTCCTCATAGTTAAAAGTAAATTCACTGGTGTTTCGCCCCTAGAGCTTCCTTTTACGGGAGCAGCACCAGTGAGACCTCAAAACGCTTCTAAAGCCACTCCTGAACTTTAGGAAGGGGACCAAAGAATACACCACCAGTGTTTCTGTGAGCAGCAATAAGCCCAGTGTAGTCAAATTTCAGCATACAGAGTACTGCAACATACACAGTATAAATTAATGTACCCTTCATCTGGCCTTGCCACTCTTTCTTGGATTTTTTTTTGGCAGCTTGTAGTGAAAATTTAACAGCATCATTACATTCATGTGCCACTGCTACAGTAGGTTTGGAATCCTGTAATACCAGCAGTCTCGCCAACCTCCCTGCCTCCCAGCAGCAAACTTCTAATGAAGACTGAAGAGCAGATTAATTTCTTCCCTTTACCATTCCCTTTAAATACTGACACGGAGGCTGGCACTATCGCAGCCCTTCTTCCTCGCTGCAGTACAGTGGCAAAACGCAGTGATGCCAATTAGTCAAAATTATCTTCAAAGTAATCTAAAATGCCTTACATGAGGCATGGAGGTAAGAGCCATCCACAGCTCAGCACTTGTGTGGTACTGGATGGACAGTAAAGTTGGAAAAAAATGATTTCCCAAGTGCGATTTCACTGCACCGAGTCAGGTTGCATATGTGGATAACACCCCATACACACACGAATGCTTTGGTCCCCTAACTGATGTGAAGAGATGGATTTCACTCCTTACAGGGAAAAAAAAAAAAAACTCTTATTTGGTTTCTACACAGTTATTCTACAGTGTTTCGTTTGTCAGCACTAACGCATGGTTTAGGGCTGTCTCTGCTGCCTTCAGCGTCGTGCTGCACTCCAAGCACTACTTTATTGTCTTAGAAACGATATTCCTGCACTCTTACCTCAAAAAACAGGCTCAAAATTGATCTTGGGTACTGACTCTAAGGGCATTCACATCCACGTCCTACACACTTCTCACCTGCCTCCTTTTCCGCTTGGAGAAGCGCCCAAAAGCCACTCTTCCCCCCCAAACTCACCAGGGAGAGTTGGGCTCCTCTGCCCTCCCTGCCACCCGCGCAAGGATCCAAAAGGCCCCAGAAAGAGAGGGGGGTACACACATACTCCCCTCTGGATACTGAGACAAACGTCCAGTCAGGTGGCTTCTTCAAAATATCCGTCACAAAGAGGGCTGGCAAGGAGGAAAACAGTAAAATAAATACCAAAATCCAGAGGGTAGAGCTCTGCTGCCAGCCACAAACACGCCCCGCTGCATCAAGCCAGAGCACTCCCTGTCAGACACGTGTGGACCTTCATCCTACAAAGCAAAGCTGAAAAGGTTTCCCAGTGAGCACGGAGCCAGAGGGGTGTAGCTGGTGGCGCACCTGACCTTCCAGCTCCACCTGATCTTCAGGTGCTTTTGCTTCTCAAGCACAGACAGCAGTTTTGGACACACGGCGGCTTTCGGGCTGCTCTTTTTGACCCTCTCACTGCTCGAAACCAGAGCAAGCACAGAAGGAGCAGCACACGTGAGAGCTGCAAAGAAATCCCAAACTCCCCTTCGCCTGGTTGGGCTCAAACCTCACAAGACTGCATTTTATAAAGGTCTTTTTTCCCACACTGGCAGCTACTCCACATTTCAAATTTTGTCAACATTATTATAAAACATTTATTGACAGCAGCAATAAACGGAACACTTTTTTTTTGTAAACAGAAATTAAAAGCAGAAAATGGCTTGAAGTCATTTTTGATCAGCCAGCTGTACAAAAGCTTAAGCAAAGCAGCAGTCGGGGAGGTTGGGTTTGGAAGAATCCACACGGAGTTCAGGAGATGTCATGCCTTATTAGATCACCAAAATAAGCTGTTATTGTCTTCAGTTTGTTATTGAGGAAATTTTGTTCTATTTCCACTTTCCCTCCCGGCCCTGCTAAGGAGGCCACCTGAAAAACAAAGACCAAAAAGCAAATCAGTCGATGCAGAGGAAAAGAGGTGAAACCCCAAACCTTTCATTCACATGAAATATCACCTAAAACGCGTCTTTGCTCTGTTAATACTGGTGACAATGTTCCTTGGCACCTAATGCCTCTGGTGCTCTTTCAGTGTCTCCTTTCACTCACAGAAGTGGTTTGTGGCTTTCTTGTGACTGAACCCCCCCCCCCCCCCCCAAGCCGTGAAAATGAAGAGGATTTCAGAGCGAAAGCTAAATGCTTCTCGTTTCACACGCCATGCTGAGGCAGGAGGTGCCAGCCTCTGCTTTGCGGGCTACCTGGCATTTGAGACGCCCAGTTACAGCAAATTGTTGTAAATTTGGCTTCCGAAGGTCTCAAAATCCCAAGTTTCGGGGGAAAAGCAAACCCAAATCCTGGAATTCAGAAGCATAAAGGTTGCACTGAAGAGTGGCGGGGAGGGGAACGACCCAAACAAAACCAACCTCAAAACCCCAAACAGGCAGAGAAGCCCACAAAATAATTACAGCTTTTTGTTGCTGCTATTGCAACAACAAAAAGTAAAAATAAAATGCTGCTGCGTGCACCGGAGTGTGGGGCAGTGCCGAGGGGGCACGGCTGCGGGCAGCTGAGCGACTGCAGGCAGGGAGAGCCCGTCAGGCAGCGCGGCCCCCAGCCTTCGTGTTTACGACCACTGGAGTGAGAACTTCACCGTTCACGCTCTGTCGGCTGAGCCCGGTGCACACCTTGAACGCTCAACGACTACAGACAGGCGACGCTCGGCAGCGGACTTTGCATTTTGGACGGGAGCACGCGACACCCGCTCCTCTCCTGCTGCCCAGCGCGACCCCTCTGAGGGACGGACAGCCTACCGCCTTCCCGCCGGGACAGACAGACGGAGGAGAACACCACCAAAACTGAGCGCTGACTGCTTTTTCCCTCCCCCATCGCGGACCCCGAGGACGTGTGCTGCGGTGGGGGTCCCTGCTCCGCAGCCAGTTCTGCCCCGTGCTGCTGTTTGCTCTGCCTGCCGCAGGAAAACCATTCCCGTAGTTCCCCACGGAGGGGGGCAGACATAAAGTGATCAAGGTCTACAAGCCTGCAGCACATTTTAACCGATCTTTAAAACCACATTAGCAGCCGAAACTTAAAGTTCAGGTTGCATTATTAACACTTCTCAACTCCTCTGAGACCTGACTCTGTAGCGCAGGTTTAAATATAAACACGCTGAACTTCCTCTATTTTACTGTAAGTAAAACCCAGCCTACTATCAAGAGGAAATAACAGATTAATCTAAATTATACTTTGAACCTTTATCGACTTGCCCAGAAAATTACCACAGTTATCTAAATCAAGCATTTACTTTTCTGTTTTGTTCCCCCGCCTTTTCGTTTTTTTTGTTTCTGCAGGCAAAAACAAAAGCGTGAGCCGTTTCTTCATCCTTCAATTTAATGGCAACAGGAAAAAAATCCTCATGTTCTTGTCAAAGAGGAACCTGCCACTTAAGTAAAAAAGCAGAAGCTGGCTGACTTATAAATAGCACAAGAATCTGAAATTGGCAAGTGATCAGGAATGTTAATTTTACAACTTATCTTTTCTTACTTGAAATCCTAATAGCAGTTAACACTGTGGGGCAATCTGTCTTTTTTTCTAGGAAGACATTGAGTTTGTACTTTTAATTTGCTACGAACAAAAGCTGGAACGTCCCCTCCAAAAAGCATTAGAGCCTTTGCACTTTATAGCTAATGTTGTTTAAGTATTATAAAATATTAATTGGATTAGTCAATTCAATATAAGACTATACAAATTACTGTCTCGGGGTTACGTACTCACTTTCAGGGCACATGTCACTTGCATACCTGACTGATGCATTGATACTAAACACAAGTGTTTACGAAATATTTCTCTGAGAAGACCAACTAAAGCAAAAGGCTTCATCAATAACACAGCCAAATGCTGCTCCTCCGCTGAGGGGTGGCATCCACCAAAGAGACTAGACACAACTTCTCGCGTGTCCTAAGTGTTACATCCAGGATAACCAAGACTCCTAAAGGAATCTGATAAACCCAAAAATCTAACGAGCACATGGGCACAAGCTCTGCAGGGTCAGATCCGGCACTGCACGCTCCTCGACCTGCCCCCCGCCGTATTCAGAGAAACACGAATTCCCTGCGATGATGCTTATTTGTAAATTGCTGGAGGTTGTGAATTTAATTACACAGGAGTTGCCAAGTTTCCCGTCGGAAGGGCTCAGCCAACCCTGACGGCGTAACGAGGGAAAGCTGCCGCACGCCAAGCTTCAGAAAGGTGCCAGCTCGGCGGAGGGTCGCCCTCTAAAAATAACGGCAGAGTGGGGAACGATGCGCTGAGAACAACAACGGTGCTCACCCGTTTTTAGAAATACCGACACGCACCCCCTGTTTTGGCAGTGACCTACGGAAAGGCTTCTCAATTTCTTTTTAAAAACTGGCCTAGTCCAAAAATCTGTTTATTTCACATTTTCCTGTGCAAAGACAACTATTCCCTGCTGGCAACTCTCCTCATCCTGGTTTGTTCTTTAGCCCAAACCCACGTACTCGGGGGGGGCAGATATTGCCTCCTTCGCTGCGCTGGGTAACTCTGCACGTACCACACCCCTCCCCGGGCAGAGGCAAAGGGTGCAGCTTCAGTTAGTGCCTCCCTGCATCCCTCTCACCTGCATGCTTCACGCTTCAGCTCAGCAACTGCTGATGGAAAGAGCCCACAGCTACAGAGCATCAGAAAAGCAGCCAGCAGGTTTGATCTCAAGTTTAAAATAGGAGACTTCAGAAAAGAAATATGAAAAGGGAAACGAACACGGAAGATCACTTCAAGAGCACACGTTGCTTAAGGTGCAAACTTGCTTCCTATTGTTCAGGTGTATTTTTGAACTCAAAGGTTTTCCTGCTGGCCTTGCAGGTTCTTTCTTTATCACCCTGAAATCACCCTGAACTTCCTATCCATTCCAGCCACCAACCAAGGTACCTGTGGATAAGTTTATTGTCATTTTTTCCCCCTCCAAGATATTTTTTGGGGGGATGAGAAATACAACCTATTTTGCTCGACAGGCAGTCACACAAGGACACCGTGACTCATTTCATTTCATAGAGCACCAGTAAAAAGAGGAACCTCCTCCCCCCACAACCAACCTAAAGGCTAGGGGGGGAAAAAATCCCAACCCACTTGGAAAAAAAACCCAAAAGGCAATGATATTCTTTACACTGAATGTAGTAAACCAAAATGCTCTCAGGTAGCATTATTCAAAATGTGCAGGTCTGCAGGTGAATTATGCCACTGCCACGGCGGTGCTGCCACCCTCTGACAGGCCAGAGATTGATTTTATTCCTTTTTTTTAAAAAAAAACCAAAAACCTTGAGGTGAGCAAACTGCAGTTCAAGCGCTTTGAGCTTTAGCAAGACTGAAGCCCAGAAGTGCCGCCCTGGCTTGGTGTACGCTGGGAGTATCTTCTGCCTTTACCTTTTCTCAAGGACAGGAACACGATCGTCACGGCTGAGGTGTCCGCAACGACCTCCGCCTAGAAATGATCAGCCTGCAGAACACATCCACCCACAGCCTCTTACCTGCCAGCTCCTCTAATACCCAGGCATCTTAAAAATACAACCAAATTCATCTCAGTTCACCTCCTGGCCTTTCACTCCCTGCTTTGCTCATCGTTGTACTTACTCCTAAATAAACCTGACCTTGCTTGGCTGGGTGTCCAGTCTAAAATCAGCTGAATGAACGGGGCCAGTGGTAGTTTCACTAGTCAGCCTCCCACCAAATTTCTGAATCCGCAGAGGTTACCATATATTCTTTTATGAAACTGCTCTCTCTGGTATGATTTTCTGTTCTCTGGATGACACCAGATAGAATTAAAATCAATAAATAAACAAGGTTTATCCATCTTTACGCTCCCTTCATTGACCAGTCGTTCGTCACGCTTCAAAAACTGAAGCACAGCAAACATCTTCCCACCCAGGCACTAGACCCGCAGACAAAACAAGGCTTTGGTGTCCAGCTTCTCTCAAAATGGATGAGGAAGACGAGGTGGGAACAAAGGCAAGAGAAAAGAAAAAGTACCTGCATGATGTCTATTCTTCTTGTGACTATCAAGGTCAAGAGCTCTTTGCTTAATTCTGGGCTCAGGGGATCACTCTACACACTACACCAGGAACAAAAGTTAATTCATATCTTCTGGCAGTATTTGGAATATAAGCCAGGTCTGAGACATCGCCATTTAGGACAGTAAAAGCTTCAACAACAGTGAAATTTCACTAAACTCGACATAGCTATCACAAACAACAGAAAACCAAACACCCGCCTCCAAAATCCCCAAAAACCCCAAACCCAAGAATCTACCCAAGTTATAAAGTTTTGCACCAGCCATGGAATCTTCAAATAGTAAAGACACACACAAAGCTTTTGATACCGAAAGAGGAAGAGGTCTGAAAAGTGACTGGGAAATAAAAAAAACAACAACAAACAACAAAACAACAGCGCATAAAGACTGACATAAACCTTTCCCTGCCTCTTACCCTGCTGCAGTTTTCAAAACCACAGTATCTTGAGTGGATAAATGCAGCCTGTGAGATCTTCCTAGTGGGGACCGTGTTACAAACCTATACCCCACCGAGCAGACTGCCAGTAGGTCAGCTCATGACGGATGGAGCTACAACTGGCTGGTAACACATAAATCACCAGGTTAAGTGGAGAGGGGCTGCCGATTTGCATTAGGAACCCAGTTTATATAGTTCCAGTCACCCAGTAGGAATCATGGGGGAGAATACCATAAATAATACAGATAGAGGAGCACATGCCTGTGAAACAGTGATTTCTAATTCTTTCCTAATTGTGGGAATTCTAAGTAGGTCAAACTTTTTGTTTTGCTTTACAAAAACACCACCAGCAGCCAAATTCAAGTTTAGCCCCCCAGAACTGAAGCAGCATTAATACACTTCTGACTGGTAGTTTCCACAACTCCCCCTCTTTTTTCCTTTTTTTTTTTCTAAAGGATGTGAAAAAAACTTAAAGATTCTGCAAAGAGATGGATATCAACAAGGGTGTCACACATGAGCTACATAACAGGCACTATTAATAAAACAATATGGGTTTTATGTATGTGCACATACTCACATTATAATTCCTGATTATTCCTTAATTAGAAAGAACATTTTGAAAGATTGCTTCGGCCTGAAAACTGAATTTTGTAACAAGTCCTTGCTTGTAAACAAGGAGATTTGATGCAATTACGGGAAATGTTTCGCATTTCTTGTAAACGCACGAACCACATCACACTGGTCCGCTGCTCCCTCTCGAGGCAGAAGTACAGAAGTTCATTGCTCTTCCACCTAAACTCAGTGAATTTTGTAAGAGAATTCAGAGAACCCCACCTCTCTCTACAAGACTAAGTCTACACAGAAAAGGCCGTGCCTGCAAGGCATAACAACCACTGTTTTTGCATGAAAATCATGTGGAACAAGGTTGTTGTCTACCAGTAAGGCAACGACCACCCAGCCCTCCGACACAGCTAGGTCAAGGCCGGCTACCACCTGCGCTCACCCAGCAGCAGGATCCCTATCCTACGCTGGCTGTCTAGCTGTAAAAAGCAGCATGTACCTTCCACTAAACTCACACCACCTTAACTAGAGGTTAAACAGTATTTTTATGTAAGTTTGCTTCCAACCGCTGGGCAGTTATTTCCATTTCTGCTTGAGATCCGCTGTCAGACAAGCAAACTCACACGGGCTTACGGTCAGCGTCAACACCTTCGTGGAGGTTTCAATGGCAATCAAGTCTGCTTCTAAACCGATCTGAGTTGGCAAAGCACACAAGCACACCTCGGTTGTGGAGTCAAGCCAGTCGACAGGAGACAAGAGGTGCAGTACTCCAGTTTTAACGTGTAAGGTGGCAGGTGTTAAGCACGTTAAGACCACCTATTCTAGGAGCTTAGTCATCTCTGAAAGCCTTGCACATGTGTGTGAGCAGAGAGATAATGTTTGAGGACACCGAAGAGGTAAATCTTACACCCTGAGCAGTGATACCACAAATCTCGCTGCTCCCTCCTTTGCAAAAGCTACAAGACGTAATTAACACAGAAAATACACAGAGGAAACTGAACCAGACACCCAGGGGGATTGTTACCTCATCTAACTACCTAAAAAAAGAAAAAAATTCTAACAAAATTCTCCAATACAAAAAAAAACCCACCCCAGTGAAACAAACTGTGTGTTCATCGAGTCAGCGATGCACCCAACTGTCTAATCCCGGCCACGCAAGCAGCCCGTAGGGAGGCACACGCTTGTGGGGACGGCGCCAGTGCCACCTCGGGGGGCACAACACTGTCTCTGATCTAGTCATCAGTGGTGCAGGCTGCACAGTGATTTCCTGCAACTCCTTCACAAACTGAAAGCCATGAAAGTTTAGGGGTTAAAATCTTTTTTCTTTCTTTTATGATGATGTATCCGTCTGGCACTCAAGAAACCTACTGGCTTTGGATCTTCTGTAAGAACCTCCCACCTGTTGCTTAATGAAGAAATAAGAACAAAATCATGGAAAAATTCTACTACTCCCATTTCCAAATATATCAAAAACACTACAAACACAGAAACATTAGGTTTAAACTTAAAACAAAACCCCCCCACATTCAGCTCAACTGACTTAAGAGTCTTGAGTTTGTGCTTGTAATACTCTGTTCTAAGCCAGATGAACTTTTTGTAGTTACCAAGCCCCTACCCAGCAACACACCTGGTCAATGTCAGCATTCCGAGGTAGAAAATACACGATATTGTTGGTGATCTTCTTGGAGAGCCTGAAGATTTCAAATGTAGAAGCCAGTAAAGGAAAAAACCAAGAATGGGGAAGGAGAAGTTGCTTTATATTAATTCATTTTGAAAGTATGTCCCAAATTCAGTTCTTACGCAATTAAATTACAGTTAGTCTGCCAGGTGTGAGAGTTGGATACTCCTCTGAAACGCAGAAATTAGTATTGCCTGAATGCAGAAACTTTATTTCACCAGTACTGCTCTAGAAAGTTTTAAAAAAACAAACAAACAAACAACAAAACTCACTTTTTAAGAAAATTTAACTAAACTACAGAGAAGTATTTGAGAAATTTGAATGTAGTTTATAGCTGGGTACAGTGGGTATTTTTTTCCTGATCCATTCCGTGGAATCTCTCTCACACATGCATACAGAATTTCCTTACTTGTACAAATATGGCTACATTTTAGCCCAAAAGGAAACAATTGAGATTATTATTATTTGCGGGGAAAAATCCGCCACACTTCATATCTGATGAAACTGTTATGCTAATACCTTCCCAGATGAATGAGTGCTCAATACCATGTTAATAAGTTAGTAAGGAATTTTATTCATTAATTAAAAGGGTTAATATTTTGCTTGAACTATTCTGTGATTTCCCAAGTCATAGGCAGGAGCTATGATTCAGAATAGTTTGAGTGAGATATTTTACATAAAATACACCTTTTGTAAATCACTTAAAAAGTGGAATTAATGACAAAGTCATAGCTTATGTAACTCATTACTACCTGTACATACATACCACATGGCTATCTGATTACTTCACGGTATTTCAATAAAATAATGTAACAGAGTTAAAACTGCTGAATTAATGCTTTAAGTTAAGAAGCTACTACATTTTTTTACTTTTAAGAATAACTCTTTATGACTTTTTCTTTTTAAACAAAAAAATATGAGAAATATATTTAATTTTAGGTGGTGAAAATCACATAGCTGAGGTTGGGGGAGGAGGACTAAGCAAATACAGCACATCTGGGACTTCAGCGGCTGGTCCTGTCACCCCTAGTCAGCCAACTGGACCTGCAAAGCCCACGTCAAGAGAGGGAGGAGAAGAAAGAGAGAAACCCGCTCACCAACGACTGGAAACCACCGCAAGGCGTAACTTTGAAAGGATATCCGTCTGGGCAAATCATGGTTTGGATATCGAAGATTTCGGCAGTGGCGTAGTCAGGGCCGCCCCAGGGCGGGCTGAGGAACACAACGTCTGCTTGCAGGTCGGCAGCCAGCACCATGAAGTCCCCGCAGACAAACTCGATCCGCTCGGCCACGCCGTACACCTCGGCATTGTGGCGCGCGAGACGGAGCTTCTCGGGGTCGATATCGATGGCGATCACTGCAAACGAGAGCGAGCAAAGGCACGGGGCCGCCACGGACCGCGAGTGCCGCCCGACCACCCAAAGGAGGTGTCAGGAGGAAGGCGTTCTTCTGCAGCCACCAGGTACGAGTCACATCTACGGCCTGCCGATGGTCGCTTCAGCTTTGTAGGCGGTGGCAGACGCGGAGCTATAGTTCCTCAGAAGGACCTGCCCTTGTGTGGCAGCAGCGAGGTTCCGCCAAGAGCAGCACCGCTGCGTGTACAGCCAGCACGGGAAGCCCCGCAGGCAAGACTGGGAGGGCTCAGCTGCTGCAAAGCTGGGAAGCTTTAGCATTTGGCAGTCATACACCCACCACCATGACAGTCCTCCAGCTCAGCTCAAGTGGCTGACAGGTAAGGCTCTCTGCCTAAGAGAGGCAATCCTCCGTGCTTCCATCCTGGCAGGAGCTTGACAGCTTAAACAGTGCGTATGAGAAACTTAACTCTTCTCCTTCGTTAAAGAAAAACATTTTTCTGTGGCTGATCACACTGTACTGAAAATTGAGCTCAAAAAAACCCCCCAGCAGCACAGGAGAGATGATACAAGGGCAGCACATAACCACAGAAATAAATATTTAGCCAGGAAATACAGCCAACCGAAATTTCAAAAATATTTATAGAATGGATCACAGCCTACGAAATTTAATGCAGCAGAAACTACCACTTGTCTTGCTCAGAAATTACTCAGAAGTGCGACTGGAGCTGGTATTTTATCCGAGTGTCTGATGAGTAGAGCAATATCACGTAGTCAATGTTTTTGCAGAAAGCACGCTCCATGTTTCACTGCCATTTCATTAGCTGGCATCAGCAACTTCAGACTAATATTAAGTTATCATCACTCCTCTGTATTGGGTCCTGCTGCACCTGCAGGTCATCCCATCCAAGTGTTTCAAGTACTATTTGCACGTAACCTGCTTTTGAGTGCACAGACAGCGTAACAATTGGGAAAATTTTTGAATCTTAACTAATGCTAACGTGCATGGAATTCAGGGTAACTTCTGCTATTAACATCTTTATATGCCATTCTAAACTGATAGATTTTCTTTTTGTTACTCTTCCAGACTGACTAATTAGAGGTCTGAATAACTAAGTTAACTGAATTCAACAGGCACCAAACTCTTCTTCATTGCCTTTTCCTGTAATATAAACTGCATCCCTGCAGGTCGGCCCTGCAAACAGAACTCAACCTCTCCCAGCAATCTTCAGAGCACAGAACAGACTAGTTGCTATGCCATGTAAAAATAACTTTGACTACGACACGAATCCAACTCTGACTTAAAACAGAAGAGCAGTTTTACAGGTCCTTTTTAAAAACAGAAAGCTCATACTGTGAGTCTGATGAAGCAAAAAAGCTTCTGTTGCTTCAGAAGCATCGAAAAAAAAAACAGTAAAAATCAGTGAACAAAGTGCATACCCAAATTTTTAGGGAAAAAGATTAAGAAACAAAAGAAGGTGCTATATACAACATCTGCTTACCTCTTTTTGAGGTCAACGCAAACTGAATAGCGTTTCCTCCAACCCCACAGAACGCATCCACTATGATATCGCAGCTGAACGATTGACTAACACGGATGGCGATATGCTCGGCTATTTTCTCAGGAGTAACAGAAAACCAGCCCTCTGCAAAGGGAAGGGAAGAAGTGCATTTTCGCCTCTTATTTCAAGGTCACCTAAACGAAAAACAACCGACCAACCCCCCCACACCAAGTGAAGGTTTAGTGTTAATCCCAACAATTTTGGCTTAGCGTATTCGACCAGGAAATACGGGCTTTGAAGATGATAAGCTCTGGTCAGTCCAGTGATTTGCTAAGCAAACAAAATCTCAGTGAAGCAGACATATATATGCCTGAATCTCAGTAAATGCTTTGTTGAACTTGGTGCTGAGGATTCTGGCTTATCAAGGACAAGTCCACTGAGACAGCTACAAAAAGCTTTATACGTCGTGGTTATGCTCTGTAGCAAATAAAACCAGAAACAGAGTCTCTCTTATCCAATGCTACTTTCTTTACAGCAATGTCTGGTCTGCCAAATAATCTACGTGTTTATGTGGGAGAGCATTAGAAGTGAAAGGCTTACAAAACCAACAAAGCCAAGCTACAGAAAAGCAGTAATCCTAATTCCTCCTTTACTTACAAATTTATGATTTGGAAGTGGTTTCCACGTAAACATGGAAAAAAGTAACTTTGAAAGTGACTGCTGAAAGTCAGAACAAAACAAAACAAAACTAGATCCATCAGCATATTTGGAAGTTTCACAAAATTATTTTAGAAAATATAGAAATAGAAAAATGCCATCAGGTTTCTGAAAACGTCTTGACCAAGCGTAACTTGGGTACAGGACGATCTTCAGCAAACATCAGGACTAATGCAAACAGGTGTTCAGAAACATTACTGAAGTCCGAGACTCCTGTTCACCTGCCTGCTGGGGGATGGACTTTACCCAGAGGTGCAAATGCACACACAGTAATGCTCCTCTTACAAGAAAATCAGTAATAAACTGTGAGAAGGGCCACAGGTTTGGACACGTCTTATACCACCAAGTCAGGGCAGTTTGTACTCAACACACCTCTGTCTAGTTTAATTCCCTCGTCAAACCGAGAGAAGAGCCGGTAGCGTTGTGCCCAGTACTTGGCCAGCTCTGGATCGGCAGCAATCTCGGCAGGTATAGCTCCCAGCCCAATTTTATTCTTTCTTCTCCTTTTTTTCTCCTTCTTCTTTGCGGTAATTTTTTCATCTACAGCTGGAAGACACTGCAAAAGTTAACAATCACTGTTCTTGTAGGCTAGGAATGTAACTGGTAGGTAGGTGAGGGTTAAGATACAAGATGCTCACGTTTAACAACACTGCTAAATGTCCTTTATTATTGTTTGCCCGATTGTGCAGATTAGTGGTTTAAGTTAAAAAAAAGCATCCTATAATTCAAGGGAATAGTGTTACCTGACAGATGTCAATCACAGCCCTAAAACTTGTAACGCTTTACCCATTATTTAAGGGCCTCAACAGGCTGGCCATCATCTTCAACTGATGGCAATAAACTCTATATAATGAGCAAACAAGTGGATCAGAGACCAATTTAATGCCCTGATATAAATAAGGACTAAGAACCAATCTAGACAAGAGTTTTACAGTAGAAATCTAACATAATTGAATTACTGTAGGAAGGACTAAACTATATGTAGAAAACTGAATAATCCTGTTTTCCTTTCATTTACAGTGTTGAATAGAAAAGTTCATAATAGAGATTATTTTTTTCCCCTAGAAAATAATTTTAACAACACATGCTCCCCAAAGCTCAGCAATGTGCAGCTGAGAACCCAAAACCTGACGGTCTGTGCATGCACCTGAAGTTAATCCTTACAGGGGAAACAGGGTGTGAATTGGAGACCTGTTAGATCACGTCTAGGGTCCACAGTGACTGTTTCTCTATAAATACCGCCAGTATTAAAGACAGGACCTGAGATTCTGGCGCTCCAGGAATAAGGTACTTCCACTAGCACAGCTCTCAATCGGCCTCATTACCCCTTGGACCTAACAAGTCTCTTTGAATAAACAGAATAAATAAATACCACACAACGCTGTGATTTGGGAAGGCCAATTCATTTCCAATTTGTAGGAAACTGATGTACCTTGGCTGACCTCCTCTGTCTCTGCTCGGAGATAATCGGGAATATCCAGAGGAACCAGCTGCCTCCCCGCGCCCTGGCCATCGGAGCCGCTCGGGGCCACCTCCTGCGCTTCCTCCTCGAGGTTACTCCCTCCAGGTTCTGGGAAGGCCACGCTGGAAGACGGTGGCTTTTCGTTTCCAGCGTCCAGCGTTGCAGGCTGAGCAGCAGTCACGCCTTCCCGATTCTCCGAGTCGCTGCTCGCAGACAATGTCTCCGCTTTGCCCCGCGGGGAGGCTGCCTGGGACGGGGTTTCCTCCCCAGCTTCACTAACTCGCCTCAGGAACTCTTCCACCTGCAATCGGAAGGTACGGCAGACGATGAGATGGCGCTGCTAACCAGCTACCAAGAGCAGCTTAAAAGCCTGATGGTTCAAAAGCACGTGCATGTGCTGACTACCACCTATTTTGAAAAAAAGTAAAACGTCCAGAGTAAAAAACATGCAGGAAGTCCTTAACCGTGCTCCCTTTTTGTAACATTTGGCAGCAAGTTGTCTTTGGGAACTAGATACCAGCTACTTGCAAAACAGAAACTCCACCAAATCAACTGATAAATACAGTAAGTCATTCCCAACATCTGAGATATAAATAGCCAGACTTGCCACAGCACAGGTAACCCAGAGCATGACTTTTTAATTAACTACCTTTTCTCCGATCTGCATTTGGAGAAGCTGTACTTGCCCTTTGAGGTTAGCATAATCAGGTAAAATCGCCTTCATACATTAGTGGCCTCATCTCTGAGACACAGCAAACAGTGCCTGTGCTGAAGGGTTCTGCTGCACGGGACAGAGCTCAAGGTCACACCCAGACACCAGCCCAAACTCTTCAAAGGCATACGCAGACACCTGCTTTTACGCTACAGCTGCTCTGAGTGCCAGTGCCTTACCAGAAAGTCTGAAGAAATTGGTAACTTTTTTTTTTTTCTTCCCACAATTAAAGTTGCCCTTGAACTGTACCGGCCTCCGGCACGAGATGGCAATGTTCAAGCCTTCGATCAAGAATGCAGCACCGGGACTGGAGTTCAGTACAGCAGGCGCTGCCACCGCCAGAAAACAGCGCGCTGCACTTGGGTGTTTGGGAATGCCAAGCATCCCAGAGGGCGGCAAAGTAACAGTGAAAACCCGAGCTAACAGGTTTTAAAGAGGCTCAACTAAGAAAAATCTACAGTGAACAAGTTTTTTCTACTCATTACTAATTTCTGAGTTTAAAAAAAAATTAAGCATAAAGTTACAGGGGAAGATAAATGCAGGTAGAGCTGTAAGCAAAGATGTTGATACACATTACTAAGACCATGGAGTTACAAGAAATCCACTAACCCATACAAACGTTTTTCTCTCACTGCTGAAATGCCAGCACTAACATGTGCCCTCACATGCATTCTAAAATCAGAGACACTTTTAATAACCGCAGAAACCTACACAGCCTCTAGAGGAATGATGCACCCAGATGTTAGGAATGACTTCCACATAACTTCGCCACTAAGCTCACATTCCTCTTGATAGATTGCCAAGAGCCCACCAACAGCTAAGGGAGCAGATAAATCTATGAACTACAGCAATACTAACAATTAAATCTACCTTCTTCAAAGTTTTACTTTTTTTGCAAGACGTTTCCGATTCCTCTGTAAAGAAGATGTGTGTGTTTTTGCTCTTCCTTGGTTTACGCATATCCAAGAACTTGGACTTGAGTTTCGCTTTCTTCTCCAAGTACTGCACACTTCGGTGGGTGAAATCTGGGATTCCACCATACCTGAAATTATTAAAAAAAAAAAATAAAAAAGACAAAAGAAAAAAGTCTTAGTTGGTTAAGTTCCAATCTGGAAGCTTTAATATGAATGTTGACGTCTACAGAAAATTATTTAGACTATTTTTTAATGAGACATTTGCTCCACTCTTAACATAGATGTCACTGTAAGTAGCTGCAAAACAATGTACTTTTAAATATTTTTATTTGCAAATGTTTACTCAAATTGGTTTTAGATTTTATTTTATTTTCTGTTTGAATAGTAACAAGAGAACTGACTTGCTATGAAGAAACCCCAAGCTCCCCATAAGCAATTACTTTTGTCCTGTGCCACACTTGAAACCCAAGACAGAGCAGGTTTCCCCAGGATCTTCCACCGGGTTCTCATCCACATCCAGTTCATGGCTAGGAAAAAAATGCAGATGACAAAGTTACTTACTGTAAAAAACTCCTATTTTAGAGATACACCACTAAGAAACTCCCATGCTGAAAACATTTAAATGTGGGCTTCAGCAATTCTTCCACACGCTGCTGAAGCCAAGCAAGGCAGGTAACACCAGCCTATTCATATGCATGAGACCACACTGTTTTATTTTAACCCTATTCTAGGGACGTATGTCCTTCTATCTGGGTTATATTCCAACTATCCCAAATGACCTCTTAAAATATTTAATATCAAGCCCTACATGGAACTGATGAAGATAGTGTTTGTTCACCCTATTTCCAAATTACCTTCACCATCTATTACGTTATCTACTTTATTATCTATTATTACTGCAACAGCAAAATATTAGAAGAAACCAAAGCTACATGATTAGCAGATAATAATTCCATCCACCCCTTCACCTTTTGAGTTTGTGAATTTATTAGAGAGGAAGAGTCATCCCATCACCTTTGAGGCTATAAAGATTTAGAGAAGCAAGAAAACGACTGCAACACAGCAGAGATTCGCTATTTTACGACTGCCGCAGCACCGAGCACTTTACTGGCTGCAGACAATTCAGTTAAACAATACAAATTATTTACTATCATTCTTGTATCACCTACACTAATCAGACCTAGATAAGCAGGCTGTCCTATCCAATTTAATGATCTTGTACACTTCAGCGGCACAAGAACAGTACCGTCACCTTGCACAGCCATCGAGGCCATACATTGTTTTCATAAAGCAACAGAAGAGAAGAAATACCCACCGCTTGTGGCCAGGTAAAGTGATAAGCAGTGAGGGAAAACTACGTGGTTTTGTACCGAAGTTTTAACTCTCAATCTCAATCAAAAAAAGAGTTACTATAAATCAGGAGGTCTGGACCTGAGCTTCTTGAGAAAAAAAGCTCATCTAAATTTCATGGCTTGCCTTCGCTTGACTTTGGCATGTCTGTATTCAGGAGGCTCTTCGTCCTCATCTTCATCTCGGTCATGAAGCAGCAACTGTTCTTTGTCATTTGAATTCGAGCTACATGACCCCTGTGAGCCTAAAAAAAGAGAGGTAAGATCATATTTTCCTTCTGCATAAATTAATTCCTTATCTTCTTGTCCCCAAAGCATGTCTGCAGCTAAGTCAGGTTGTCGTACTTACCCGAATCTGACAAATAAGGCACAAGTGCCAAACACACCTATCTTTACCTGCCTTTGCTCGAGGGACAACATACCAACACGAGCTTCCAGTATTAGTTACACTGTAGAGTTAATAATCCTAAGCAGGCCTAACTTCAAATTATCACAGCTCTCCAAGACTTTTTTTACAATGGCATAATACAGACACGCTCTTGTTTCTCATATATAACCACCCAGAGAAATTCTGGTACAGTCAGTTGTAGCCGATTTTGTATTACCTGACTGGTTAATACTTCTATTTCCACAAGATGCACTCCTTTTCCTGGTTCCTCCATCACAGGGCTCCTTCTGGCTTTCACTGTCGGATGAACTATGTTCTTGAGGACCTTGCTGTGCTACTGTTAGAGCTGCACTGCTCTGCTCCACCTCCTCCAAATTCAGATTTAAATTACAAATCCCAGAGATTATTTCGCTGTGGGGCTCAGCACCTGAAGGGAGTGTTTCCTCACTTCTGGTGTTAGCGGGAGACAGCTCCAAGCGCAGCACTTCACTGCAACCGGCCCCTGGGCTAACCAAGTCCTTTTTTCCCGAAAGACCCGTCTCCTGGGTAACCCCATCAGCTTCCACGTTGTCACCGTGTGAGCTCTCAGTAGTCCATCCTTGACTTGTCCAGTACTGAAACTGCTCCCAGTAATACCAGTACAGTTCGCTGTAATGCTGCTCCCACTCTTCCCTGGTGTCCGGACTGTTCCAAGGCTCAGAGGCTGTGGTGGCCTCAGATGATGAGACCCCTTGATGCTTCTCCAGCCAGCTTTGCCAAAGAAGGCCCTCTCCGTACTCATTCCAGTACTTCTCCCATTTTTCTTTAAGTTCGCTGGGTAAAGCCTCATTTGCAGGACTTTCTGAACATTCACAGTTCCCTTCACTTACAACCTGAGGTTTGCTGCTCTTCTCATGTTGCTCTGCAGCCAGGGACAGCTCACCAGAAACGGACTGGATACGACCACCACAAGCTTGATCC